TCTTACATGCAGCTTACACTGTCCTTTCATTACATTAGTATCCTGGGCCGGGTAAACTGTGAACTATGATTTTTAAATCTTCTCCCAGAGACATGCCTCGAATGTCTACTGTGTTGAAACGGATGAAGTGGTGCATCCTGGGATCGTGCCTGACGTTACTGGCGTGCCACATCCTGTTTGTAGTGCTGGACCGTCTCGCGCTGAGCCACCCCGGCTCCAGCCTCAGGTTCATACGGGGGAGAGACGGGAGTGTCTCCGGGTGTAGAACACTGGACACTGCCGACAGGTGAGCAAACGTCAAAAACCTAAAATTCTTGTGAAAATTACTTATTGTGCAATTTGTAAAACATTGAGGGCTCAGTAAGTCAGTTTGTGTTGTGTTTACACCCAACTTAAATAGAAATTACCTAGTAAGAAGTATGCATAAAGGTTTCATCATATTGTTTTTCTAGTCTGTGTAACGCAAACTCTGCTGTCCGCGGCTCTAGTTGGGCCCTTCCCGCTTTTCGGGGGGCGGCGGGATGTTGGGAGGCGGGCAACCGTAAAAGCGATTTAATCAGGCTAATACTAGTATTGTTTTTTCTTTTTTTCATTCAAAATCTTCTAAGAGTTCAAAAAGCACCTTCTGGGTCTGGACTGACTACAGATGTGGTTTAAAAATTATGTACAATGAAACCGATCTGAGTGATTTTGAGTTGTTCCAAAGTTAATCTTACGACACACTTCTACTGGCTGTAATGTACTTATTGTGTAATGTATAGCCTGGAAAACCTGGCGGAAACAAAATGGCTGCTGAAGAATATCCGGGACATCAAACCGGCGAGTATCAACGCAGCCATTGAGGACCCGGATGTAAAACCTGTTGGTTGCGGTATTTCCTTCTCTGCAGACTTAGAGCAGGTAAGAAAATACTTATGAATTAGTGGTAAAAGAAGTGATAAGGAACGAATTCGAAACTTCATTGTCTTTGTGTTGGCACTGGAACCTTATTCTTCGCATGTTCAGACGCCTGAAGGTTTACATGTCCAAACCAAAATCTGTACCTCTCTGATACATAAATTCTTTTTTTTTCAAATGACATGCAGGTGACAAGGATGGGTGACTGTGTTACTACAAGAGTTTCAGTCAAGTCAGTCTTCAGCAACCTCTCTCACTACCTGGTTAGTTACATATACATGAATACAAGTTATGTGAAGAAAATTAAACTGTTCTCCAACTCAGATGGACTTTCATGCTAGTATGAAATTATATATATCATAGTATGTCAGTGGGCATCATCTATAAAGCAACTTGAAGAAAAAAACAATTTGAAGAAAAAACAACACTGTAATGACAGGGCATTTTGTTTTCTACAATATCTAAATCTGCGTACCTATGGCCTGTTACACACTGTCAGGGAGAGAGCCACCTGAGGGAGATCAAGACCCACTACCTGGACCGTGTGCTCGGTACCGGCCTGACCGTCCCATCGTCCCTCGTCCTGCTGCCCTTCTCCGCGCTAGACAACAAACACGCCGCGGTCGTCAGACAAGCTGTGGACTGCAACATCAGCGACAAGGCAGTCTTTCAGACAGGAGTGACGGCGTACGTCGCTAGCTGGGTACCAAACCTAGGCGCTTCCCCAAGCTCACACCCAGCTTGGCCGACAGAATACATCCTGACAACTTCTTCACCTATGTGACGTTTCTGTACATCGCCAACTGTATGAAGTCTGGGCATTCCCACTTCGCCACCTCAGACGACCTTCACTACGTGATGATTGATAACGACCGTTGTCTGCTGCCAGAGAGGGTTTCAGCTCTGGAGATGCCGTTTCACTACAAGAAGCGCCTTACGAGGATCGGTCATACCCTATTCCGTGATGGACACGTCTGTAGTACGCCGTCATATCTAATTCACCACATGCAGGCAGCCAACTCTCCCTCATCACTGACCCCTAGCATTGGGAGTCAACT